TGCGAAAAAATAATGCTCCCTGCTTTAGAGAATAGAGTTGTCCTCCAGTCCCCCTGACAAGGCGGTCTATTGTATGTGGTTATTGGTGGGGGTGGGGGATGGGAAGCAGGTATAAAGGGTCTCTAATGACTTGGATGAATCCACATACTTCAGTTCAGTGTCACCAGAGAGAGGTCATAGGTCAGCACTGTCCACAAAATTCTCTGCTGGAGCTATTAAATAGCACCCTTGTGAAGAGATATTCACCCAGGTTGGTACACTGAGGTTCAAGTCCCCTTCCTTTTTCTCCATTAAATGGAGCCAACCATGTCTGCTTTGGTGGTATCTTATGAAGGCATCACTTTGGCTAGCACAGAAAGAATGTATTAACCTACTGGCTAGCACACAAGTATGGAAGTCAGTTCTGGAAGATCCATCCTAAACGTTTCTGCCGGGCCCCACGATGGAACCTTCTCTCCTCCCAACACACCTTTATTATAAACTGTAGGAACAAGCAGAAAAACTAAAAGTCAAAAAGTCCAAGCAAGAGGTCATCCAGAAGTTCATAGCATCTGATTTAAGAGAAGTGACACTACAAATACAAGAACCCTGGGGATTTCATTCTGGCTTTAAGCAAGTCACTCAACCTCTCTGGTTCTCAGTCTCTCCACATAGGGAACTCAAAATGGACCTACCCAAAGGTGAGACTTTTCTAATTGTGTTCCACAGAACAGTAGGTGCCTCAGGAAGACACTGGAAGAATGAGACGCCATGGTTGACGCCGAGAGCTTGATCTTGCTTTGATACAATTTATATGTGCCATGGCTTTGGAAAGAGTTTGGAAAGTCTGGCCTCATGTTCTTGGCTTTGTTCCTCGAATACATGAACTCAAGTGGCCTGAGAGCAGCCTCAGTAAGAGAGGCATTGGACCCCAGAGGTTCCCGAAGCTCTATTTGCTCCTACACCTATCAGGCCAAGCCCTGTTCCTGTCCCAGGCTGTTTCAACCATGTTCTCTGAGAAGCAGTGTCATAAGCAGAGTGAGACTGAGGAGGGGAAATAAACCTGGACCTTTCCTTCCCTCTAAAAAGGAATGGCAGGGGTCAAATCCTAAGCACACTGGGTTAGGGGGCCCACCTTCCAGGGTGTTCTTTGCTAAGGGTGAAGTGTGGGGGCCTAATCTGCATTCGGGACAAAGCCAACAGGGTGTTTGAGTGTTGTTGTCATAGAGACTCAGAAAGGTGTTATTAGCATCTTTTCAACTCAGCAGCCCTGTGTGGTCCAGTCCTGTGCAATCTTAGCAGTAGAGCGCCGTCACCCTGGCAACCCATTAGCCTAGTGTTGTTACCATGGAAACCCTAGCAAGGTCGATGGGCCCAAGAACTTCCCCCAAGGAGATATGCTCTGGGGGATCCGCCCTTGGCAGTGCCTACTCCTCAGGTCTCCCAAGTGACAGTGGCCTGCTCCTCAGACACTGGAGGCATTTAGGGTATTTTTTCTGGACTGAGCTCAGGTTCTCTGCGACAGAAAAGAATTTGGCCTTAGAGTGGCAAGTCTATGCTTTGTTACCATGGAAATGCTGCTTTTAAGGATCTCAAAGCAGGAATCAAAACTAACTCTTCCAGGAAATTGAGGCCAGCCAGAAAGGAGGCTGTGGGCTTGCCCGTCACACTCTTAGAACCCATGCATTCATTTGGCATTAGTGAGCACCTATTAATACTGTGCTGTGGATGTTCTGGGTTAGAACTAGAGAGAAGGCCTGATTATCCACTGTCCTCAACTGAAAAGACTATTGAGGCAGACAGAACCATTTTAATTTCCGCTTCAACTGCCACAGAACCTTGGGCAAGTCACTCATCCTGACTCGTTCTCAGCCACTGCATCAGGACCGTGAGGGAGCAAAGAAGCCTAGGTGCCTTGGAGGATTCTGTGATCAGGAGACAGATGTGACTGAATGACAGCAACACTCCTGCAAAAGAAAAGTGATGCCAAGATCGCTCTCTGTGACGATGCACAAGGAGAGCATTTCCTATAACCTACTCCACACTTGTATCTCCAGGGAACTTAGATAACTGTGAGGTCTGGGTCACTAAAACTTGGCCGGACTTGCCAAAAGAGTCTATCAGTGTGAAACCAAAACAGGCTCCATTGAGAAGTAATGAACTCCTCATTACTAGACGAAAGCAAGCATAGGCCAAACTACTACTCAGCACAGATCGTATAAACTGTTAGATCATAGTAGTGACTTCCTGGAGGTAGGTTATGATCTTTAAATCTTGGCACAGCTTACTAGCTGTGTGACTTTAGGCAATTTGCTTAGGCTTATGGAGCCTTATTTTTCCCATTCACAAAGGGGGTGAGAGTTTTACCTGTGGAGTTGTCCTGGGGATCCATTGAGTCTTGTAGATATAAAGCACACAGAATAGTACCTAGTACACATCAGTGCTTGATAAATATTGACTTGCCTTTTGGTATGATGGTTCTGGTTAAGTTCCCACTAAGTGTGGGATGCTTAAGACTATATATAGGCTGCGCATCCTCCTGCACCATCCAGGAAAGGAAGGCATCCTGCCAAGGACAGGGCTCTGTGCTGCTGACCCAGAGGCTTTGGACTCTTCCATTTGCATGCTTCTAGTAGTGACTTTTCTTTTCAGGTTGCTCTTGGTTTCCGTGTCTTCACTGAGCCTAAGGACCCCAGCAAGGGTCCACAGTATACTTAAGGGAAGTGAAGGTGGATGATGAGGAGAGGTCTCATTATCTATCGTGCAGAGCTGGCATGACAGCTTCCTTTGTCACAACATCACTCAGACCTCAGGACCGTCCTATCGAGAGCAAGGACAGCAGATGAAAAGAGCAAGGTGTAGGGTAGGAGAAGAGCCAGGCCTGGCAATGGCAACCCGAGGGAAGCAGCTCCTCCCTGCTCGTGCTTGTGCATGAAAAAGAGTCGCAGCCACAGTTAGGGGAGTGGAAGAGAGGAACTCCTAGAAATGCTCTGGGTGGGGCTGGTGGCCTTTACCCATGGGGAAAGGACAAAGTGATGCCTGTGTGTGAGCATTTACTTGAAGCTGGTTTCTAGAAGTCCAGTGGGCTTTTCCAGAGCTCCCATGTCTCTGAGCTCGCCCGGAAGCTTTCCCTTTGAGTGAAGTCCAGGGATTCATTAGGATATATCTGACACTTTTGTCCCAATGTAGTGACTCAGATACTCAGCTAATGACCTCACCAGGGGATTTTGCTTGCTGAGACTATGCAGGGTGGGCTAGTATTTTTAGAAGAGGCTTGGGAACAGGAGTGATACCCTAACTCATGTCTCCCAAAGCTCTGGATTAAAATACACACAGTACCTGGAGTGTGGAAAGTAGGTGGAGTGACACCTTTGAAAATCTTGGTTAACTATCGTGGCCCAGAAATGTTCTGTAACCAGAGTGTTCTCTGGGCAGAAAACACCCTATACAGCTTCATCAGCACAGACAGGGGCAGATAAGAGCCCAGGGAATGGGACTTAGAGGCTAGACACACTCCTTGCAAGGTTTCCCCAAAACACATGCAATAATATCTGCTGTTGTCTGGAGAAGGTATGCAGTTTCCCTTAGGCACTGCAGGGTGGCAGATGGGACCCTGGTGTGGAAGAAACCACCAGTGGTAACATGGAGTTCACTGAAGGAAGCAGTCATTGAGGGCCAGAAACCAGTCCAGAACAGCCCTGAAAGGAGACCACAAAAAAGGCATAACTACTGCTCTTTGGCACCCTTAGATGTCAATCTCTCTCCGTGTTCCAAACACATACTCTGCTCAAACACAGTTCGTGTAGTCAGAGGCTGCCGTAGTCGTAGTAGATAGATCGGAAGCAAACAGCCATTGAAGAATTCACCGGCAGGTGTGGAGCTCAATGGAGAAAATATCTCTGCGGTTCCAACATTACACCAGCAGGGGGAAGCCTCTCACGCCACACCAGATTTCATACAAAAACTGAGCAAGCAGGCTGGACATAGCCCCGCTGAGCCACCGGATAGGATCGCAAAACTTAGAAGCGTTTAAAGTATCCTGCCAGCTTGAAAATTGGCCCAGGTGCACTCAACCACACTCTCCTGTAAGGGAAGGGGCATTGCCCTTCCTAAGCAATTGGTAAAATTGATAAGAGCAGCTGAGACAATGCCTTAACTACCATCAGGTACCTTGCCTTCCCAGGCTAGGGTAGGGAAAGGAAATCAGTCAGCCTGTCAGAGTCCAACGGAATCTCACTGGGCAAAGTCAGTGTCTCACAACCTCCTTTCCTCACCTGGAAAGTGGCTTTAAAAAGAAATCATGTCTATCCCGTCCTACCTCGGTGTTTCAACAGGAGCTCTGGGCTCCTTCTATAAGGACCTCCCCTCCTTTTTGATCCAGACTTATTCCTGGGGTCTCATCTTCCAAGTCTCCTGTTAAGAAGCCTTCTCTGACACCAGGATAGTCCCCAGAGAAACTGCCTAGAAGCCCTCATCTTTCTTCCAGGGCCCTGTGGTTAAACATCTATTGCGATTTTGAATAACCTCTCTGTCTCTGTCTCTCCCTCGCTCCCACCTTCCCTCCCCTCTCCCCTCCCCCTCCCTCTCTCCAAGTTATATGGAATGTGATGCATAATAGGCACTCTATACACATTTGGCAAACGTTAAAATTTCTTTTGGGGGTGAAATCCTAAACTTAATGCATACTAAGCACATACTCAACCACTGAACTCTATCACATGCTGAGAAAAGAATTTCTATAGCTTTCTACACCTATAAAACACTTTTGCATGCAAAGCATGAGGGGTATTAAGCACCTGCTGAAGGAAGCAATATTTTACACACTCAAACATGTATGCATGCACGGATACTGGCTCATGGCATTGTACCAGGCTTTTTGTTTGGGGCCACCAACCAGCTCCCAAATCATGACACAGAGACTTCTTAGTCTTGATGCCTGCTCTAGCTCAGGCAGGTTTCTGGTTAACTCTTTTAAATTAATTTGTTTCCCTTTAACCACCTTTTGCCTCAGGGAACGTTACCTTTCTTACTTTCACTTCGTATGTCCTGCGGCTGGTGTCTGCCTGGCTTCTTGCCCGAGGCCTGTCCCTCGTTCTCTGCCTCCTTCTCTGGTTCCTCCTCGTTCTTCCTTTCGCAGCCCAGATTTCTCCTATTTATTCTCTCTGCTGCCTAGCCCCGCCTATCCTTTCTCTGCCTCTTTAATAGAACAATCAGGTGCCTTAGGCAGGCAAGGCGAGACAGACTCAACGCCGCTTTTCATGCAACACATCTTTTCATAATAAAACAAATTCAGCATAAACAAAAGTAACACATCTTTACGCAGTTAAAGTAACATTCTGCAGCATAAACAAATGTAACACATCTTTGCCTAGTTAAGATAATATTCTACAACAGTGGCACTATACCAAACATTTTAAGTTCAGAACTTCGGTTAGTGTAAGCCTACAAAGGACGATTGTGATTTTCATTTCAGAAAGGAAAACATTGAGGCCCGGGAAGATGGTGTGATGATCCTGTCTCCAGTGCTATTGCTTCCTTTAAAGCAAACACACTTTAGTTCTGAGCTCACCTAGATATGTCACGCAAGACTCTTACACTAGTGGGTGATTTAGCTTTTCGATGCCCCATTTCCTCGGCTACAGAATGGGATTGTGATGGAGACTAAGGCAAAGCAGGTGGCCCATGAGAAGCACTCTGGAGTTACCTAGTCACGCCCTCCTTCAAGTGTCACTTTTCTGGTCTGTAAAGATGGAAGGGTTTGACTTACAAAATGACCTCCCAGGCTCGTCTGCTCTGACCTTGGGATTCTTTATGGCTAAGACAGGGAAACCACCTGTAGATTTTCCTATGCAAACAGATGAGGGGAAACTGGAACTCCAAAAGATGAAGTGACCTGTCTGGAATCACGCAATCAGCTACTGGCCAAGCTGAGGTCGGATCTAGAGCTCTGAACTTGGGAGCTCCCTCGACTATGGCCTACCAATTCTTCAACACCAAAGAAGACAGGAAAGCATTTTGTTTGCACAATGGGAGGAGCACAAGGAGGTACCAGCCTCCCTGGAGTAAAGGAAAGTGGTGTCGACCCACAGAATCCAGCAACAGCCTCCCTCTCAAGTTGGAGTTCACGTCCTACCCTATGTCTATTTCGTCTCCCAGACCAGAACTTCAGCCATGGGACAACAGCCCAATGCACCTGAAGCATTTCAGTTTGCTGGGATCCACTCTATAAGCAGCGTTCATCCCCAGGTGCTTCAAAGCCATCTAGCTACTCAAGCTGGGGGAGGGGAGAGGCTGAGTCCTAAAGCAGCCAAGGAAAGGCATGGCCAGGATGCCTGGAAAAGCAATGCAGAGGCAGATTCAGGACTGGAACCTAGGTTCACAGGCCCCGCTCCTTAGAGGAAGGACCCCTAACTACTAAGTAAGTCTCCTGGAGCAGGTGTCTAGCCCGACAAGGTCATCTCAGGGTCCCCAGATGGAGGGCTAATATTGAGTGCTTGGCATCTTTGGAGAGGCCTTCCAGGCTGCAGCCCAAGCCAAAGCTGGCACAAGGGAGAACGCTGTGGGTCGAATCTGTCCCTGGAGAAGGCCTTGTGTGTTGTCCAGGAGAGTTGAAGTTTCCAGTGACCAAGGCACACTCGCATGACATGCAGACCATTTAGGAGCAGAACAGTGAACCCACGCTGAGGCTAGCCCTAGGTTTAAAGCTTGGCTTGCCAAGTAGAGCTACTCCATGCACTTGAACAAGTAGTTTCACCTCCTCAAGCCCTTTTCCCTCCCTGTATAGAGAGGAGGTAATGGTTTCCCTATTCACCTCTCAGGGCTCGTTTGAGGCTGAGTGCACATAATAACTGCACCTGTTTAGTGAGCCAGCCCTGGGAGCTGAGGTCTGTGTGGAACACTTCACGTGTTCCTAATCACAGCTGGGAAGTAAGCAGCAGCATCCAAGGCAAGAAGGAAGAGGGCTCACCTTGGCCATGACCTTGCCTTCCAGGATTTGACCCATGATCTTCTTCTTCTTCTTTCTTTTCTTTTCTTTTTTTTTTTTTTTTTTTTTGCTTGTTGTTTGAAACAGGGTTTCTTTCTCTCTATAACAGCTCTGGCTGTCCTGGAACTTACTCTATAGACCAGGCTGACCTCAAACTCACAGAGATCTTACCTGACTCTGCCTCCTGAGTGCTGGGATTAAAGACGTGCAGCCCCACTGCCCGGCTTGACCCATGATCCTGAAGTCATGCTTCTCCTTCCACTGGAAGCACTTTGGGACACTATTATCGCATCCCGGTTCAGTGATCATATTGCAGTCAGTTGATGACAGTCCCTCAGCTGTACACTTGGCTGCAAAAAGTTAGTCTTCCCGCCTTGCCGCAGGTGAGGCAAAAAAACTGGCTGATGCTTCCTGAGAGAGGAGTTGGCCAAACTCTGGCCTGCCACCTGTTTTTATAAAGCTTGGTTGGAACAGAGCCACGCCAATTGATCTATGTGCTATGGCTGCTTCTGTAGGATAAGACAGACATAATTAATAGGTGGGACAGATCTGAAAACACTGTACAGAAAAAGTATCTGACCCCCGGAGGTGAGACATTCAAGGAAGTGTCTCCGTGTACCTCTGACCCTTCGGCTGTAGTCCAGAGCCACAGCATGGGAGTTCCTTGCCAGGCTACCTCTCCAAACACTGGCCACTAGGAAGGGAAAAGTAGGTTTTCAAAGGAGACCTCGCGAGGCCTTCCTTTTGGGTGTTCCAAAGAAACGCTGGCAGAGTGAACAGCCTTTGCCGGCCAGGACAGGAAAGTATTGACTATGTCTTCTCCACCATTTTCTTTGGTGGCTAGCTGGCACTGGTTCAATCTGGGCAGAGAGAACCCTTGGATTGAGAAACGCCGCTGAATAGCTTTTAGATCTTAGAAGGAGAATTACATAAGCACCCTAGAATGACCGCTTCGGCCAGGCCCCATGGGCACTTTGGTTGTGGAAGAGAAGCCCAGCCCCACTTAGGGGTCCCAAGTCAATTAGAGAGGATGAAGAGGAAGGCTCCATAGCAACCAATGCTCATTTGACACCAACACCTGGGTGTGAAAAGCCATGCATGTCCCGAATCTGCTTCCCCAATCTCTGTCACTTCAAAGGCGCCCAGTTTCTAGGTGGATTTGGAAGCAGCATTGTTTTTCAGGTTCTTTGCACGACACCCTGAACAACTCAGTCTTGTCAGGTGAGGCGCTATTGATTGTCTAGTAGAGGGGTCTAACCTCAACTTGTAGATTATAAGAGTATGCGTGCATTTATTTGGTGTGACATTGACATCTACAACTGCCACAGTCAAGAACTTCACAAACTGGCCCCTCCACATATGCATTGTGGAAAGCAAGGCCACACACACACAAGCACACACATACACAAATAAGTAAATAGGAAAAAAGTATAGTTATGCCTTTATGCTGGGCCACATTCATAGTGATCCTGGGCCATGGGTGGTCTCAAGGTCAGCACTGGATATTCCTGGAAAGCTCAGCATTTTGACAATCAACACTGATACTACTCTGATACTATCATATTTGTTCAACTCAAGATATCTCCAATGGCTATAACTTATATGGTCCTGCTCTAGTTAGGTCTCAAGTCATCTTGACAGAGGGACATTATTAGTTTTTCTTCCGCTGTCTCAAGGAAGTCAAGCTCACTCCAACTCACTGGTACCCAGTTCAAGTGTATTGCCCTGTGCAACCTGGCGGCTGCTGTTGTTTTCTTATCCCCTACCTCCCCCGTTCACCATCCTCTTCCCAGATGCTGTTGGGTCTTCATGGGTCAGTTTTAATCACTCAGCCTCTCTCCACTCTCCCTGATATCATCAGGCTATGCTGTCTCCTACTCCAAAGTTCAGTTTCACTTATTGGAACAAAAACCCATATTTTATACTTCATTTTCTCATGTTTAGGAAACCTACTCTACAGAGTTTGCATTCTGGAATTCACGATGTAGATTCCATAGTCACATTATGAAACTTTGGGCCAAGTGCTTCTTCCCCTCTCTTAGTGTGTTTTCTCATCTGTAAGAAAGCAGTGACAGCCTTTACGTCCATGATGTCATAACGACAAAATGGATTATTTTCTTTTAAAGGGCTAAAAGCCTGAACACTTGTGGGTCAGAATATTTATGATCCCCTTTGTCCTTGATTCCATGTGAAATTAAACCCAGGGGTAGATGGATTAGGGAGATAACAAACCAATCTGTATAAAGTAAGTTCTGCCTAAACACGCTAAGTTCCTCTGACGACCAGTGCACTTAAACAGCAAACCAGCAATTCCAAAACTACACGTTTTCCTAAGAGGCACTCCCAACAAAATGCCATATTTTTAAATCACTATGGCACGAAGTGCAGCAAGCTGTTAATGATGAGATACTTAAGCGTGCTTGTAGGTGACTTTTTCAGTGTTATCGCCTATTGAGCAGTTTTATGACTCTTTAGCAAGTTTGTCTGAAGGCATTTTCTTTAAAATTAAATACTTGGCAAGTCTACAGAATTTCTCACAAGATTTATCAAACGTATCTATTCTGACAATTTCTCTGTCCTCATTGTGTCTTTCTCTGCATTGTGTATGCTTGTGCGCACCTAATGGGTTTATTAACCAAATTAGCATGTACCCAATGTTCCTGTCTATTCTGAAAGATATTGACATTTTGACAATAAGCAAGAGAAAGTAAGACAGATGGGGCAGAATTGTATTGAACTCCTTACATTTTATTTTTCAGGCCATCTCATTCATCAAGCAACTCCACTTTGTGAAACATAAAATGATACATACAAAGTCATTACCAAATGTATTTATGGCTGAAAACAACATTTTTCAAGAAAGGCAAACTGGCGAAAAAGTCCTGAAAGTATTCAAAAGCAGATAAAACAGTAGACACCCACCAGGGATACAAAACAACGTTTAGTACAAATCCCACCTTTGATCAGTATGTCCTTAAATGAATTGCTTCTGAAAAAAAAAACTTTAAATGACACTGCCAGAAAAAATGAGGACATTCGAACAGATGCCAAAGGACTTAAAAGGGGCTCAAATTTATGTGAACTGGCCCTTAGACATAGAGAGCCCTTTTGTGAGCTTGTGGCAAATCAGTTTGAGGCCAGTTGACCTAGAACCGATTCGGGATGCAAACACCTCCCTACACGTGCAATCTGTGGGCTCTGGGACAAGCATGGTCCTTGGGGGGAAGGAATATGACCTCAAAGAGTAAGGGCAAATTGTCAGTTTTTTATCTCTTTATTATAAAGATATATTTACACAGAACAATCTTTACAAACACAGCGAACACCTTCGGGGGACAGGTTTCTTAAACTCAAAAGGTCTTAATAACTTTATATAAATTAGTATAAGAATCATACACAACCACTTTAAATAAGACAGCCCACCAGGCCCATTTATCTCTCTTCCTTTGCTATCTCTCCTCTTTCTCAGCCATAGTCCTCTTCTCTCCCTGTGGGGCTGGGGATGGCAGGCTGATAAGGCAGGAGATGCAGAAACGACAAAGAGAAAGAAGGCACAGTCCCTGGTAGAGGAGAGGCACCAGCAGTAGAAGAGGCACCAGCTAGCCCCCACTTCAAGGGGTTAGGACCCCATGCCTGGCCCAGATCCCTGGGGTGGCCTCTGAAATGGCAGCAGTAGCAGCAGCAGCAGCAGCAGCAGCAGACGGGAAGAAAAGGCTTTGGGGAGGGGTGGAGAGGCAATCCTGGGGTTACTATGGGGCTTGGGGGTCCTGACTCCCCCTGCCCTACACATATGTAAGTGAATATTAAGCTTCTGTTTTCTCTTTTCTCCCTCCTGGGAGGCCTCTGAGAAGAACAACTGCTCAGGCAAAAGATAAGGGTGTCCCTCCAGGGAGGGGCTGCAAAGGGCTCCTGCCAAGAGATGGGGCCTCCTGGTGGAGTGATGAACCGTATCTACATATCCTCCCATCTCTCCTCCTTTCTTCCTTCTCTCTTTCCTTTCTTTCCCTTTCTCCATCCTCTGACACTCCCCCCAAAGCCACAAGAACAAGGGTCCAGTCAACATAGGGGCTCATGATAACCAGTGTCAGGGGTCAAATGGTAGTTTCAGTGCCTGAGAACCCCAATTAAAATAGCTTGAGCCTGGGCGTGCGGCTGGAACCCGGCCTATCGGTGGGGGGTGGGGACATCTCACCATTTATGAACTCTTCCAGGCCAGGTTGGGAGAAGGACGTTCCATGCTCACACAGGGCAGTTCACAGCCTCTCCCTCCCCATCCTTCCCAGCTACCCTCTGCACTAAACCCAGAAAAGGCACTTCATTTTCTTTGAAAGGACATCATCAAGAGGAAAAAGGACATCATAAAGTGGGAGTTGGGAGACCTGGTCCCCATTGAGACTCTGCAGTGACTCTGAGCAGGCTACTTCTCTCTCCAGGGCCTCTGTTTGTGCAAGCTTTTGCATAAGGAAACAAGTGATCTTCAAGGTCCTTTGGGCTCTGACTTTCTGTAACTTTTATTTTTTATTTTTTATTTTTTTGGCAAAAACAAGTATCGTGCTTAGTTAACTTTTACTCCCGGGAGAGTATGGAACCATGTCATGCTCAGCACTCTCCTCTTCTGACCTGGAGACTGAACTGGCTTCAGGAGAGTAGAAAGGACAAGGATGTTAGAAGACACAGTCACAAAACACTTCATGAGCCCCTCTCCTTTGCCTCTTCCTTAGCAGGACCAGCGCGAGCTAAGGCAGAAGCCGTGACAGCAATTCCTCCTGATCCCTCCACCATGCCCACATTTCGGTGTCCCCAGTGTACCTCCTCTGGATCCCAACATCCAATCCCACTCAACCAAAGTCTCTCATTGCACGTCTCTGTACTCCCTTCTAAGTGAGCAGTCCGATTGCTAAGAAAGTATGAATGTGCAGGAATCCATTGAAGATGGGAGTGTTTCTGTCCAGTTCCCAACATAATAAGAAGAGGGACGGGCCAAGTGAATGCTAAGGCCAGTAGATAGGGACTAGAATGGGGATCAGGCCAAGGAGAAGCTGGGTCTCCAGTGGCAGTCCAAGGAGTGACCAGGATGATGAGCCAAATGGATCCTTGTGAGAGAAATGGAATCATCCAAATGAGGGGCAGGATCACGGCATTAGAGGAACTTGGTGGGTGAGAGGAGCCGGGACCAGCAGCAGCCATGACAGGTGCAAGATGAGAGCCAAACGGATGTGAGGGTCCCAGAGATGGTAAGAATCTGTGGAGTAGAGAGAACGGCACCCATCTGACACTTGGAAAGCTCTTCAATCCTAAAGAGAAGTCACAGACACATACTAGGTCAGGGGAATCCTCCAGAAAAAAGAGAGGAAACAGAAGTCATGTCCACTCCACCCTAACTCCCAGGGCACCAAGTTGATCCCCTTGTTTCTGCTGCAGGGGGAGGGGAATCAGGCCAGGCCACAGGGGCCCTGCTCTCTGGCCACCTTTTACTCTTCTCTGCTTCTCACTGCTCTGGACACTACCACCAAGCCTCTTCTGTCCCCTGCCTGACAGTCCCAAGGCTCTCTGCGGCCTTCGCACTCGCCTGTAGTCCTGGTAAGCGTACACACTGGCTATCTGTAGGCATGCCATCAGCACACCTCTCCAGTCATGGCCTGCTAAGACTTCCAGAACTCTCCAGCGGCACTAGCCTGTCCAATCCCAGGCAGAAGAGCAGAGGAACATAAAATGCTCCACTCTTGGGAAGGAGTTAGGAGATTGACTCCAAGCACTAAGCCCTTCTCTGGGCCAGTCTCCTCTTCTATAAAACAGAAGAGTAGCTAAACTGCTATACTAGCTCCCAGGAAGCTCTAAGACCCTACTGTGTCTGGCCTTCCATAGTAGGCTGTCCATATCCTTTAGGGCTACCACCTGACAAGGGGCTCTAATACCTGGTTCAGAAAGGCATGGGGCCCTTATGGGAGAGACGGGGGCGCTGTCTGCGGAATTTCCTCCTGCCTCCCTGCCAGGGGCCTGGTCCAGTCCTCGAAGCTCTGGGCTGCACCAGGTAGCGCATGTTGCCTTCTTCTAGCCCCTTCCCGTCTGAAGGCAGCATCAGTGGCACTGTGGAGAGGAGAGAATCTGTTAGCCAGGAAGACAGATGGAGGAGACAGCAGAGGCCACGGTCCAAGGGACAGGGCAACTTCTCCACAAGATGGCGCCCCTCATAATTTTCTATTCTACCCTGATGAAAAGATGTGCCATTCGTACCCTGTTCTGGGGCAAACGGAACCACTCATTTTGCCTGAGGTAACTGATTTTATATCCTTTGGAAAGTTATATCATGTATCTGACATGCACAAGCAAGCGCTTCCTTTGGAAATGTCATGACTAGGGGTGTACTCTGCAGCATTAAGCCTATACGTGACTGGAGTGCACAACTTGGCTGGGGTGCACAGACACTGATCCCTATGGCACCGCTACAGCTAGTGTACTGCAAACATTTCAGACACACAACATTACAGTTATTGAATGGTGCTTCGCTTGTTCTTTTTTTTCTTGGCTGCAATATTTTAAAGCAAATACCAAATGCATGTCACCCTATGCTTACATCCTTGGATAGACAGGGTGACTCACTTCAGTGTGCTAGAGATCTTATCTGCCCCCTTCGGGCACCTCATCAGTAGTTAGGTATCTTTGAGGCTTTTCCTTGCGAATGTGGCTAGAACATAACTGACTCAGCCTGCTTTGCACTGGGTTCTATTCAGCCTGTGACCAGAGCCTAATAAATATGGCACAAGTGAGTGAATGAGTGCAGGAGCTGTCGCCCTGAAGAAATATGCCTACGCACCAGGAGTAGTGGTGTAGGCTGTTGGGGTTGGCACCACCCCGCCGATCTACCATTCTAGATCACACCTCCTATCCAAATTCTAATATGAATTCTTTCCACCTGGCTTCTGTTATGCCCTTCCAGGCTCCTGTCTCCATCTGCCCACATCTGGCTTAGTGCAGAAGTCATCTGATGCCACTGAGCCCTAATGGAATCCAAGTTGTGCAGGATGTTCTTGGGGAAGATGAGGGAGAAGGCACATTTGCCAGCTCTCACAGAGCCAGAAGTCCAGCCAGGAAAGCTGAGCTAATACCCAGAGACTCCCTTGGACCCTAGAAACAGTGTGCAGGGATGAGATGGTTCGGGGGAAGAGGCAGAGGAGTAGGATGTCTATGCAATGCCCAGTATGGGAATGGCCTTCAGAAACACAGCAGTGCCTGAGGCCAATGATAATGAATGCCAGCCCCTGTTCCCTGCACACCATCAGATTTGCCTTCAGCTATATATCCAGGGAGTCTCGGTGCTATCCATCAAGGAATTCCCACCGCTGTCTCACAGTTTCCAGACAGCATCCAGTTGGCTACTCCTCCTTCCCACAACCCTCCCTGCCTCCAACACCCCCATACTCTAGTTCTTTCCTTGGCCCGTTGGTTCTCATGAGTCTTTCTCAGCTTGCACACAATTTCCAGGCATTTAGCATCCTCTTGGGCCAAAAGTGGGCGAGGTTTGTCCTTGTGTCCCTCAGTGCAGACCTTTAGGGCTGCTGTTCTTCCTCCCCAGACAGGCACACTACATGTCCCCACCCCCGCCCCTCCCCCACCCCACCCCCAGTCTCTATCCCTGAAACACCTTCCCATTCTCGTCCAAGAAAATACACCAGACACATTAGGACCCAGGGGTTTACACGGGTTAACTTGCCACACTTCTGTGCTCATGGTTAAAGTGCGTCAATGTGTTCGCTGAGGCTCTAAACCTCTAACTCACGAGAGCCGAGAGTTAAAAATAATATTAGTGCTTTGGAGGTGGAGGAATGATGATGACAAGGGTTAGGGACTGCTTCTGTTTGACTCATCCAGAACTGCCCTCCTGCTACCATCTGTGAAGGGGCTCAGGGACACCATTGTTCGGTCCCCACAAGTTGATCCAGCCAATGTTCTGACTTTTAGATCTTATCAAAGCTTACCCTGAGCCTTGAGAGTGAGTTTTAGTGATGCTGATAAGAAGTCAGAACCAGAGACATGTTTCAGGTAGGGGATAGTAAGAACTGTGCCCAGAATGTATGTGGCCACGCATAGGTAGAAGACCCTATGGGCCTTAAAAAATTGAGACCTTGGTTCTCATGTCCATGCCTTCAAAGACTGGATTTGGAACAATGGTCCAAGCCATGGTATCCTAGAGGTATAGCAAGCATGGGGTAAATAGGTATGGATAGTGCCAGGAGGGAGAAAGTATCACTCACTTACTCATACACACACACACACACACACACACACACACACACACACACACACACACTATAGGAAGGGAAGTCAAAAGCCAGAATGAGCAACATGCTGACAGTGACTCGGACTCAGGCCAGGAAGATGTCTAGACTCTAGACCTGCAGAGAAGATCCACCCTGAGCCTATTGAGGCTCAGACAGGCCTGGGAAAGTGGCCACCCCAGAACTTGCTTAGCCTCTTCCATCCTATTGGGTTGGATCTCATTGTCCTCCCCATCGCAGGAAGTCTATGGGCACCTCCTGCACTCTGATCCCATCTCCCACTTGTTTCCTACTTTTGCTGCTGAGTCTAGTCAGATAAGCCGATACCTGAAACCCTGGCTTTCTCCTGTCTGAAAGAACAAATTAGAGGCCATTGATTCTCATCACAGCAGAGGTCCTGGCTGTACAAAAGGCATTCCCCATTTGGAGACAGGGAATACCCCCAATACACTTCAATATGCCATTCCAACTCATCTTCTGCTTAAAAGGAAGCAGGAGCTATATTCCAGAGAATCTCAAGCCAAGAGGATTGGAGCCCTTGTTCATGAGAGTGACGCAACAGCACTTTCAAGCTGGGAACTGCAGCCAGGGGAAGAACAGGATTGGACTTTCACACAACCTGAGCTCCAACCCTGCTGAGACACAGAAAGGAATCTGTGAAACTTTTCAGGAACATGCCAACCTCAGCAGGAATGGTGCACTAAGCTTCTCGTTCAGGGTTTGCTCTGTATGGTGATTGCTTTAAAAGCCCACCCCTAGGCTCCGGTGGAGATTCCACTGGTGACGCTGTGTCCACTGCTTTGTAGTAATGCTTGTGTCTCTGGGATATGAGACGCTCTTCTCCTGCACATTCACCTTCTCCAAGGCTCTGTGCTGTCTCCTACTGCCAGCCTTGTTTCTCTCCATCAAGCTCTGAAAAGCCTGCCCTCCACTTGACTAGCCTTAGGACTTTCCCATTGAGGTCCTAGCTCAGGTTACAAGGATGCCTGGAGTTTAGAATTGGGGATGGAGTGGAGATGTCCTCCACAGTGGAAGGGGTACAGTAAGCTGTCCTTACACTGCACACTGGAGTAGAAGCTGCCATGCAGGGAGCAGACCGAGAGAAAATGGTGCTCGGAGACCAAGGGACACTTGGCCTGGACTCAGAAACTCTCAGACTCAGAAGAGCAAAGTGTATCCCAGGTCAGGAGGCAGTGGGGAGTCTGCGGGAGTTGGAGGAGGGGAGAAGAGGGAAGGTGAGCATTCCAAGTCCGAACAGAAAGTGGAAGAGAAGAGGACGAAGTTTCTGAGCCTGGAACTGTGGGGACTGGCTCATGCAAGTCTGTGCTAAGGACAAAGTTACTCTAGGGCCCTGCTTTCTAGACCAGGACACAGGAGGAGTGTGCATACCTGAACCTCTGGCTGCTGGCTACCTCTAAGAAGGTGCCCTCCTTGGCTCTGGGAGTGGTCAAGAGGTGGGAAACTAGGGAGAGCTTTAAAGGTAGCCAATGCTTGTCTTAAATAAAGTGTAAAGGTGATGCTTATACTCACATTAGGGTGTGTCGAAGATTTAATGTAAAATTAGGAGACAGAGCAAGAAGTTTCAAGATCTAGACCAGAAACCCAAAATGTTCTGGAAGCCTGCTTTACTTCCTTGAAATTAGCTCGCCCCTTTACTAGTAATATCACAGAGTATCTACTAGCCAAAGCTTCCCTTATTCCCGCCCCTCACCCTCTGGGGAAGTATGCAGCTCCAAGTGGTCCAGCGTCCTCTGAGGTACCCTTTCTGTACCCAATCATGTTCTCTAAAGGCACTCCTCAGACTATTTGCCTGAAGTCAAACTATGAAGGTGTGTTGTCTTGCCGACTATGCGGGCTGTGTAAGCTCCAGGGTAAAGGGACAGGCTGCCATGGTGTCTTTATTCATAGCTTTTGCTCCCTTCCTGCCACTGCCCGGGTGGCAGGAGTTTCTGGGGAGAAAGTCTGCACCCTTCATTCCAAGGAGGTGGCCGTCTGGGTGCTAGGGTGTTGAAGGAGACTACTGCACAGCTACCTGGAGGCAGGAGGCACCAACCAGGCCAATGTACTTTCCTGAGAAGCCTGACAATGTACCGAATGCAGGGCAATGACAAAGAACAAGAGTGCAGAAAGGAGGTAGCTACCAAGAGAGCCGGGCAGAGTTGGCCAGGACCCCAGAGGCTCCCGGGCAGCTCGCCATCCTCCTTTTCTGGGGGGGGGGGTCAAACTAAATAAGTTCCTGGGCTCTTCCTCTAGGAAACCCACTGTCCTGCTCTCTCTCTCTTCACTCCCACTTCCCTGTGACTCCAGCCAGCCCTGGTACTGGCGATTGTCCACCTGGTCTTGACCTTCCCTTTCTGCTGTGCCAGGCAGGCTGCGATGACAGCCAGATCACAGGACTGGGGCAGCTGAAGGTGGGAGCTGGCAGCTCCAGGAGGCTCTGACGCACAGAGGGCAGGCAGCCTGGGCAGGGGCTCCTGGGATACTGAAGACCAGGACCGAAGTAGGCAAAGGAGTTCCAGTGCCAAGAATTTCCAGGTGGGAGATGGGTACAGGTGGAATTGAAGGCGACTTCCCTTCCCTGAGTTGCATGAAGGGCCTGCGTTTGCTGGTTTGGTACCTGGAGACAGGGGGACCAAAGTTCTACCTGGGGCAAGAGTGGAAGATAAAGCCAGAATATAGAAGAAGCAAGTCTCCGGAGAGATGGAGATTGTGGGCCAGGTGTCCCACAACGGAGTAGGTACCAAGATCATCCATGGCCTTGGAGTACAGAAGGAGACCAGTCTGACCCTGTCCGGTCCAGATCTGCCTAAGTAGGCTTCCTCTGCTTGCACTCAGGCAACAGCTGGGATCCACTAGCCACTGCGGTCGCCCCCGCCCCCGCAGCGTGCTCCAGACTATGCAACAAGTGTCACGTCTACATGTTGGCACATCATCCCCAGCGGCTTAAGCCCCTGAACTTGCCAGCGGCCCCTAAACTCCAAGACCTAGAGACCTTCAACAATGATTCCTGACCACTCAGCTCAGGTCAGTCGCCCGATCCACTGATCCACGAAATGAGCTGGACATGCCCCCATCCTTCTCCCCGCCACCACGTGGGGTGCAGGGTGCAGGACATAGGGTGCAAGTTTGTGGCCCTGAGCGCCTTAAACTGCGAGGGGCATTCAAGAAGGGCCAAGCGGTGATGTACGTGATAATACCAAACCCCGAACTGTCCCGGGAAGCAGTGGCTTCAAAGCACGTCTCTCCCTGGCCCCAGATGCCCTGTCAATCGGCCTCCCGGTGTGGCTGGCGCGTGGCTGCTCTTGCAAGGCTCGCGCCGGGTTTCCTGGGAGGCGGGAAGAGCGCGCGCGTGGGGTGGAAAGAGAGGATCGCGCAGGCTGTAGCTAGGGAGAGTCCCGGAGGAAGCCTAGGCGAGCAGGGAGGGCAGGCACTCACCTCCACACACCGCAGTCAAGGAGAGCCAGAGCAGCAGCAGCGCCTGCACGCAGAGTCGCAGATTCATGTTGTAACTCGGTCCACAACCGCCCTGAAGAGCCGGCGCGTGGGCAGAGAGGCCGGGCACCCCGGACGCCGAGAAAAGCGCGAGCCGGGGCTGGCTCGTGCGGGCACGGAGTTCGCGTGGCTCTCGGACCACGGGAGGGTGCGTGCCCCAGCAGCGCCGCTGGCTGCCGGCCCCACGCCTGCTCGCCGCCTCTGCTCTGCAGCAGCCTCCTCTCCTGCCGCGGGGCAGCGCGGAGAAGCTGGCCTAGGTGGCTCCGGGACAGCAGCAGAAACTCTCCAAGTAGCTGGCTGTGCTCGGTCCGCGACTCGCAACTATCCTTTGGTCCAGGCTGCTAGAGAGAATGCTTCCCGGCTCACTTTGGGGGCTGCATTTTGTAGCTTGTGGTTTGGCCACGAGCCCACTTGGTCATGTGGTCATCGGGAGGGCTGGCGGGGGGGGGGGGAGAAGAGCAGGAAGAGGGAGGGGGAGAGCCTCCCGCACCGCCCCCCCCTCCAGGCAAGCACGTTGCAGCCCTATCCAGGACGCGAGAGGGAACCCCGAGGTGGCCCCACAACAAAGGCTGAGCGGCTGCTCGGACAACCCACAACCGCTCGCCGGACAATGCCTGCCTGGCCGGGGTCCAGAGGGTTTGTAGAGACCTGAAGGCTTTCAAACAAGGAAGCATTTGGATCAGTGGAGGGGCACACTTAACCCTTTCTTACCTGATTTCCTTAACAGCTGTCAGGATACCTGGGCATTTGGAGAAGGACCCTATTTGGGATCCCCACAACACCCTAATCCATTTCTGACCCTGAACATGTTCTTTCTCCCCTCGTCCCTCTGTATTACCAAGTAGGGGCTTACTCAAGATCTTCCCTGACTCTGCCTTCTTTCTCCTCTGCATCTGCAACTGATTTAGAATTGGGCTGGTTGCCTAGGTTGCGTGTAAAACTGAGGTAACTAGCCCGCGGTGGTGGTGCACGGGGCCACCTTTAATCCCAGCGTGCAGGAGGCAGAGACAGGCGGATCTCTGTGCGTTTGAAGCCAGCCTGGTCTACAGAGTTAGTTCCAGGACAGCTAGGGCTGTTACACAGAGAAACCGTGTCTGGGAAAAACAAAACAAACAAAGACTTGGGTAACATCTGCCTCCCTTATTTCTCCTGTCTTTCAGCGAGTACCCTCTACATGGACTGGCCCCGTGATTGCTGCAAAACCTCAAAATCCCACCCAATTAAAAAAGGCACCCTCCTGACCTGTGCCCCAATCCGCCCCCCCACCGGAGATGCTGCCTCCTGGATCCTCTTTACTGCTGGGAGACATTCTGCAGCTTCTGCCATGCTCCCTTTCTTGTTGCTTGGAGCTGTCCCCTACCTAGTTTTGTCTGCTTACGGGGAGAGACCTCTAGGCTCCATCCAAACTCAGCTGGATTTCTTTTACAGTCAACTGGGATTCCCCGTTATAAGAGGGCCCTGGGGTCGTTTGTCTGTCCACTCGGGACTCTTAGCTCCTTCTGCAGCCTGGGAGATCCCAAAGAAATGCACCGATTCTTTCCTCAGACTGGGAATCCCCTAAGACAGGACCCTGCGGTCTCAATCTTCTCTCCAAACTCCCCAATATCATTCTCTGCACATAGGTGGCACTCAACACATGTTGAAAGACCAAGTCAAAAGGTGTTTCCACCTTGCAGCAAGCCAGGCAGTTTGTTCCAAATCTACATCCAAACGTATCTGCAAGGTACATGGGACAGTGTTTCAATGTACCACAGAGGATGTGGAAATCCATGATATATACTATGAAGAATCTTTGAAACGTTACAGGCAGCCTCCGTTCACCAAAAGTGTCAACAACCAAGTGACCTTTGTCTTCCTTCTAAACGCAGCTCCACAGCAGAACAGTGCCTCAGAGATAGCTGGCGCTTCTGAAGATGCGACTGAATCTACGAGGAAACTATCCAAATCAATCAAGGGAGCCCCATGGCGATAAGACAGGGCTCTTGACAGTGGCCTGTGATCCAACTGCCACATCGAGGAGGAGAGGGACTGCGAAGGAAAGCATCTTTATCCGAGGGGCCCAGGTTGTGAGTAGCCAGCGTGGGTCATTCATTCTTTTTTGACTTTCTACTGCAAAGGTTAGTTGAGTGAGACGAAGAAACATTGTTCTCTAGACATTTCTGCTGTAGGCCATTGCTGCCCTCGCCCAGACTTATTGGATCTTATGGGGGCAATCAGCTCTGCTCTCCCCCACTTCAGGGTGCTACAGGAACTGTCCC